ACACACACACACACACACACACACACTCTCTCTCTCTCTTTATTTCTCTCCATCTCTCACTCCTTCTCTCCATCTCTCACTCTTTCTCTCCATCTCTCACTCACAAGCAGATACATACACACACACACACACACACACATGAATGTGTTGGGAGGTTGGGGGGGGGAGAGGAGGGAGGAACGGAATGAGGAATGTAAGGAAAGAGGCACTAGTCCACAGGTAAATACTTCAGGCATGTAAGAGAGCAGTAAGTACAATTACTACTTCCCCTTGATACCCATAGGGACCACACAACTAAACAAACTTTAATTATACCAGGCAGTTCTATTCTGAGTACTATTTATAGTAGCCCAAACCTAGAAGAAATAACTGTCTGCAATGTCACAAATGAATATACAGGTGTAGACAGTCCTGATAGGAAAAGTCAGTGGACGGCTGGGATGGGACAGTCTTGAGCAACCTGGCAGGGTAGCAATAAGTACAAAACGCTACTCCCAACCTTCTTGATGGTGTTCATAAACTCTCAGATTTTGGCAGTCCCATCCAATTTAAAACACCCTCAAAAGAGAGATCTGAGACTATACTTGATGCACATAACATATATCTCCGCTGGGTTAAAGATATGGTGCAGTTAAAGATAAGGTTATGGTACATACTACAGGCAAGGATTTACGAGTCATAAATAGTAAAATAGCCATGTCTAACTGAGAGGACAGATAGACTTGGGAGAGAGAAAGCAAATCTCACACATGAGAGAACTAAAACAACACTTCTTTGGGTTCCATCAAACCCCTACAACTCAAACACCTCAAAAAGACAAAACACCGGAATCGCCTTCTGATATACTAAGCAGAAATAATAAACCTTAACTCTCGCCTGTCCTTAACAGGAGCGCCCTCATATTATGCCCTAAAATTCCATCACACATAAAGTCACACCTGCTCTAAAGGCCACCTGTCAAAGACATTATTCATGTGCATAAACAATCATCACTTTGCACCCCCCTCCCCCCCCCCCCCCCTTGAGGTTTTGTTTGTTTTGTTTTTAACACTATAATAATAAGATGACATTGTCCAAGATGTCCATCAGTCAAAGATAACCACCATTCCCTCAACAACGTACGGCCATCTTGGACTGTACTTTCAGCAGACACTTCCTATTGCTACCTCTCATCTTTTTGGAGACCTGAAAATTTCCTTGAGTACAAGTTCATTTTTCTGACCATCATTTTCAACTGCTCCCGTTTGAGGGTTTCTTCATATATCTAATGCCTTCAGTATTTTAAAATGATTAAATGACAAAACCATTAGCTCAGAACTAGCAGAATCTAAATTGAACTTCGAGGGGAAAAAACTAATAATAGGAACAAAAGATTGCCATTTTCAATGGACCCTAAGACAGAAATTTTGAATGGCTGATTGGCCTCTTCTTTTTTTTACCCTGAAATCCGGGGGGGGGGGGGGGGGGGTATTTTTTTATTTGGGCATGTAGAAGGCAACTGATTTTTTCAGTTTTTAAAATTAAGTAAAGAGATGCAGATCAGCATGATAACATGCACAGGGTAAAGAAGGATAGACAAAGGAGACAACTGAAGGACAGAAAAGAAGTAGGACCAACCAGTATCCCTCTCCAGCCACCAACCCCGTTAATTAATATGACGACTATTTGGGAACAATTTTCAGCTTGACAATGACGAAATTCTTAATCAGTTTAACCGTTTGAACTTTCACCATAATGTTACAATAAAAAGTGCCTGTCTGCTATCTGGCAATTTATAAGACGACAAACTTTCAATTTCTGAACTAGTGCAGGCAACGATGGGTTGCCAAAACTCATCGGAAACATGTTTCTAAATTGTAACAACACTAATAAAAATATCACCATCTTGTAAAGGAATGCTCAAAACCACACTCACTAATACTAAGACAACCAATTTCCTCCCAGAGGACAAAAAAGAGCCACAAGCACATCATCAAATGAGCTTCAGAAACCACCAAGGCAACTCATCACAATTTCAGCACAGTCTTTGAAGCAGAATACCAGAGAGCAAATAAATCAACTATTATATGACCCTTCCTACTCCCTTCTAGGACACCAATTTACAGTCAGTTGCAGCAGTCGAGGCAAAATGAGACAAAAGCAATATATAAGCTTGTCTGACTAAGTGCTATTTGGATAATAATGTACCCTTCTTTCAGAGCGCATTATGATTTTAATATGCTATTTTTTTTTACAAACATAGATTGTATGATGGTGCACATCAGTATACTTGGCTGTGTGTGAGGGTATGATCCATGTGGGCAGGTGCAGGTCCTGATCTGTGACTATTGAGTTGACCGAATTGCGACACCAAAAACACAAGGTCTTCCATATTATTTGTAAATCCAGAGTGCATGTCGAATACTTGTGGTTTTTTGGATGTTTGTCATGAGAACAACTGCTTCCTTGGTTTATTATCTATCCCTCACCGAGCTACTATAAAGCCGAAGACTCTTTGCATTCAAATGAAAATTTCTAGGTGTATGGTTCACCCGGGGATCAGCTGATGTCACATGCGATGTTTATGCACAATTCAAATGAGAGGCAAGATGCTCATGCAGTCTCCAGTAGACAGATGAACAGGGGGGAAAAAGAAAGAAAAAAAACTGCAATACGAGTATCTGATTCTGGCACACCAAAGAGAAAAGCTGGCACAGTTGAGGACTCGGGCAACACTCCCGTCACCAAACTACCATCAACATACAGACGCTCCAAGCAAACCATACCACACTGGCCGACTTTCTGAAGAATCTACCATGAACAAATGCATCCCATGATCTTGAAAATCCTTCTTTCCCGACAATAAGACCTAACCTTGTTTGACAGACTGTCTTTCATTTCTTTATTGAAGTTCATATTGTGTGCACTAGTAATACAATGTTCCATGCATGCAATAATGAGATTTAGAAGAAAGGGCAGGCAGAGAGGGAGATAAACCATCTTCATAGATATATCATACATAAACAAGACTGAGGATTCTGTTCAATCACAGCTCGTATGAAAGAACCCATGGGACAACAATACTGGAAAAGTCACCCACAATATTTCTTTGTTAGAAGAATAACAATAAAAAGAAGAATATTAAAAATTGGCATATAAATATGTATGGCATTGTGGTGAAATCAAGCACTCGTTAAAATATTAAAATGAAGAAACTGTCACTCTTTCCTCCATTAGGCACATTTAAAAACACATTTGTATGCAGATTTTACTGAAATACGTAGATAAAAGACACCCCCCAAAACATGAATTTACAGTTTTCAAGGTTATTCCAGCTTTGAATGTCACCAAGCTTTGGCAACTATTTTCTTGTCGATTTTACCTCAAACAACAGGTGACCCAAAATCTCCTTCAATCACAAATATCTTGATTTCCATTCCAGGTAGATGAGTAGTTTTAATCAAAAAAGACAAATAAACATGCTTTAAGAATATACTAACAACTCCGTAAGCCCCAAAATAAATGAGCACTTGATTCCACCATGTCATGACATACACATATGTCATATATAATATAAAAATAGATACGTAATAATTCCTTCACATAAGCTGTTTGTTAGAAATGCATTTTGCACCTGGGCAAATACGCTGACATCAATGATAATCAGCCGGAAGTGGGATTAGCTGTGGCTTTTTCTAAAACAAACTGAAAAGGGAGGGTGAGACTCTACTCTGTTCCTCTAGTCCGTAAAAGTAAAAAAACAGATCAACTATTACTTCAAAAAACAAAGCTTAACCTACAAAAGTCTGTTGGGGTAGACAGGAAGGGCTAAGGTCAGGAGGAAGGGAAAAGAGATCCAATAAGTTTACCCAGGGGTGGCGCCGAGGCCGAAGAATGGGTCGCTCATCATGGTCATCATGGGAAAGCCTAGGTGCACGCGGGAGGAGGTCAAGCCCAGGAACGGGTGGTGGTGGGCGTGGTGCACCTGGATCCCACCAAACCTCCTAGCATTGTGATCCACTCGACGTCTTCGGAATGGTCGGCCAAAACTGAAAATGGAACAGCCGTTGCGTTTGGTCTGTCAGCCCCCCAGAACACACCACACACGCTCAGGTCACGCCGCGCGTGTGGGCCGCGGTCCTCCACACCACACTTCCATCCACGACATCGACCACAAAACGGCAAGAGAGCCCAGAGAGTTGCTTCAGAACGCTACAGGGTAACTCACACAGCAGTGTCAGGGGGTGGGGGTGTGGGGGTGTGCTAGTGGGTGGGGGGGGGTACGGCCTACGTGCCAACTAAAGGAACAGAACCATGCCACAACACCAAAGGGAAAGGGAGATCACAGAAGCTACTCATGCACAGGACACCACCACAGCTCATACTGAACAAGCACTGACATTGCCATTTAGCCGCCACATAGCTTTGCAGTCGCTCAGAATCAGAGAGTGAAAGGTGAACCATCGCCATGAACAATTGGGCATAACCCTCTGCTCAAAGCAAAAGACTTAAAGCAAAGCACAATTCAGGCACAGTAAACATATATCTGCTTCAAAGTTTTAGTGAAGTTTTGTATTAAAATCTTTTGCACCAAAACAGAAAAGTATACCAATATTTCCGTACACAATTTGCGGTGGTAAAATTTTAGAATGGATGCCAATCAGAATAGTGTTTTACAGGGTTAAATCTTATAACATTAACTTATTGGTACCAATCAAAGGTTGGGTTTTGTTGTGCAGAAAAGTAACTGTATTAATTATACAATAGACACTTTGGGCTTGCATGCTATAAATGCATTTTTATAACTTCAATCAAACAGCAAGGTAAATTAAGGTTAGCTGAATATATCAGAGAAACCATGCTTTGATCACAAAGCCAGTAAAGCAAAGCCGTGTGATAATAGCAAGCTTGGAAAAATGACATTCATCATGTTTCTTCGAGAGAGAGAATAAAACAAGTCAAACAACCACTCTGCCTATCTTTTCTAATAGGACTACCAGTCAGAAGAATGCTTTCTCAATCCTTTTTCCTATTCCCGATTTTGATCACAGAGTCAAAGTGGAAACAGAAGGGGAAAAAAAACAAACATCTTTTCAACACAATAGCCCCAAAAAGAGAACAAACGTCATAGACAGAACAAAGTTGTACACATATAGGTCAGGAGGTCAATGCAATTTGAAATTTTTTAAAAACAACAACAACAAAAACCAGTGATGAAATAATATAACCATAAAAACCAGGGAGAACTGAGTCGAAAATCCCCCCCCCCCCCCCTCCACTACTGAAACAACTGTAAACTACCAAAAAAATGTATATTTTCATGGCATGTGAAAACAACATTCAAAATGGTTAGTAAATAAGAGCTGTGAAGAAATGTAGCCACCAGATAAAAGATTCGGTGGCAAAAGACAGGGAGAGGATACATTCCACTGCTCCGACACATAGTGCCTGGGGCTGGGGGGGCAGAGCAAGATGTGAGCACAGCGAGAGAGAGAGAAAGACAGAGCTAAAAAGACCTGGATGTGAGAACTGGTTGTGTTTTTCCATTCTTTGTATCTATCGGCATTTTAAAACCGTTACAAACAACAAAGGAATAGTTGACAAAATTGAGACAACATATAGCCTGGAAAAAAAACTCTCTCTCTCTCTCTCTCTCTCTCTCTCTCTCTCTCTCTCTCTCTCTCTCAAAATTTCTTTCAGTAATAAAGTCTAAATGAACTCAAAGATGGGATGCACTGGAGAGTAATTTTTTTCCTCTTTCAACGGATTTCATTTTCTTCATGCTTGAGGTACAGGAATTAGATACAAACATTGAGGAACACTACTAAATTACTCATGCTAGGAAAGGAGCAATGAAACTATACTTACAAATGCTTATCTAAAGTTCATCCAAAGGATTGTGAGCCAGTTTGTTTACAAAGTTATTTTTTAAAATTATCATCCTTCCAAGGATCATCCAAAGAGTAGTCAGATGTTTTTGTTTTGGGTAGAGAAAAGAGCATCAGCCCACTATCAGTCATTCAGGGCAATGGAAATGCAAGACAAGACTGACAAGAGTCAAAAGAAAGGAAAAAAAGTCGTAGGATTAACAGGGTCCCCCTCCAACCACCCACACTTTCAAGAAAATGTATGGGGTAAAGCAAAATGACGGAAGATGTATTATAATTTTATCCTGGGATTCATCAAGTCAAATATTTTAGGTTCAGGGTTAGAGCAGAAAATGTTTGGGAAACATTAATAAAAATGAATATATGAAGATTTGAGATTGTGTCAATTTACTTATTCCTTTTTCACCACAAAAGACAAAGGAGACATAACTCAAAGCTAACAGACAAGAAGCATGAAGAAGTATCTCGCCAGAAATAAAATGTCAAAATGAAAACGCGGGGGAGGAAAAACATGACAGATACGACGGTAATTGTATACACAAAAAGCACAGCAAAATACTTCTGAAGGCAGGGATGATTGCATCCAAACGTATGGCTTACACTGTCTCAAAGAGCAGTCTGAACTCTAAAAGATTTCACAAATACTTAACACAAAATGTAGATATATATGTAAACAAAAACAAGAAAATAAAGAAGACAGGAGGGGGTACAGATTGAAAACCCAAACAGAAAAACATTTCTGAAATAAAAAAAAATAAATGTTTTAAATAATCCATTCCAGGCATGCTGGGAGGGTGGAAAACTAGTGTTTAAACAAATATTTTTTAAAGGGATGCGTCTGACAAACATTAACAAAATAAACAAACAAAAAATAATAAACACAAAGTTAGTAATCAGACCAACAAAAACATTCAGTGATCTCAAAGTGTTCCAACATGAATCGGTCAACCCACAGCATCAACACTACCAAGCTTGTAGCCCCTACTCAAACCATTATGTGGGAATCCACTGTGCTGTGTTATTGGATCAACGCACACACATGCATCATAAATGGGGGAATTTGCCAAACTAGATCGCCAACAAAGATAGTTTGAATCTTGAGGGAAATTTTTGTTAACACATCAAAAAAATAATTTCCGAACGTCATTTCTGCCAGTTATGCTTCAATATGTTATATCAAGTTACACCTGACATCAGACCTTCATGGGCTGAACAGTGGTAAAATAATACACACTGGCTGCAAAAGTATCAAATCAAGAACCGATAATGCGAAAACTAGTTTGGCTCTAACTGTATTGTGTGTTTGCAAAATGAAACTGCAGAGCTGCATAGAACCCCACTAACTTGTGTGCTGAGTTTGAAATCAGCCTGTGCAATTACAGACGCCAACTGGTCATGAAGAAACACCCTCAACTTTTCAAACCCCATGCAAACACGCATTAAGACTCAAAATTTACAAATCACATTGTTCAATACATCTTGCCCCAAGACTATTTTCATACATCATGAAATATCTGAGCAATTCCAGAAATATGCACTTCCCCACAACTAGCTGGCATATCACAGTTTCATTTTGCTCACAGCTCATCATATCCATCTATAGTCTACTTGTGTGGTCATTGACTCTAAGAAGCATTATGTTCCTAGCAACTCCACTGGCCTGACCTGCCGACACTTACCCTGAGCTAGCGAAGGGGTCTTGGGAGAAGAAGGAAGAGGCGAAGCTGTTCCCAGATGGGAACCCTGGAAAAGATTGGTCGAACATGTTGCCATTTCTCTGCCCACCTATGTAGATAGATGGTTAGTAGAATAAGATAAAGCAAATGAATTATAGTTGAATGCAGCTACAAATACAGCATAACTACAGATACAAAGTCATTTCTGTATACAATAAACAGCAATCATTCAGCATAATAAATATGAATATTATGAATAAACAATCATCTACATAAGTTCTGTGATGGGTCGTGGGAAGGTTGGTAGAAAAGGGAAAAGATAGTAATTCAAGCAAAAAGGGAAATCCGCTCCTGAAAGTTCAGAAAACTACTCTAAACTCTATTTGATGACTATTTATTTATTAGTCTTTAACTTTTGCGATCATAATATTAATACAAAGGTTAAATCTATCACTATGTACGTTAAGAAAATGTTTAAATTATTATCTGCAAATACTGAATACAAACAAGAATTACGTAATTTTTTTTTTCCAGGTTTAAAAGTGACAAAACAAAACAAAATAATCCGAAAGTCAAAAATTTTCTTGAACTGAAATGTTTTTATCTTTTTGTTTTAAGAAAAGAAGATATGTTTGAAGATCCTTTTAAGAAAGTTCACAAACACTCTGTGTAATATGAACAAAAGAGTTGAATCTTAGTCTTTTCTGCCTTGGTCAATTCAATCGATATCTGAAACTATTAGAAGTAAAGCATATTCCCGTTTTCAGTGGACATGCATGGGAAGATGGAAACTCAAGCCTTACACATCCTGCTTCTGGGACCTTTGGGAGAAAAAAAAAGTAAAGAAAATACTTCCAATTACACCGGTCTCTAGATGGAGAGCGAGTCAGCAGTTTCAGCTACTCTTTGCTTCAAGGCAGCATAACTACCACATTTCAACGGAGACAAAATAAAGGACAAAGTAACACAATGAAAAGAAGTAGGACAGAATAACTGGACTGAATTCAGAATGAAAACTGCACATCCAGTCCCCAAGTGACAACAAAACACATTTTTTAAAGACATTCAATACAATTCATTCATCTATCATAACCGTACGACATAACAGAGGTAAACTGCTGGGAAAACAAAAATCAGTCCACACATAAACTTCTTTTAAAAACTATCCACTTAACTTTATAGCAAGCATCAAATAACACTTAGAGAACAGGTATAAGACAATATAATGCATATCTCATCAACTTCTGACAGAACTGAATATATCACAAGACACCTGTCTGTCTTCATGTTATAGTTATAGTTAATTATTAATCACAAACTTGGCCGTTCAGTTTATGCATTTAACCTGAAATTGAGGAACCGTGGGTTCTCTTTTGAACTGTGACAGGAAAGATTACGTGCTGAAAGGAAAAGTACTGGATAAATAACCTGCTCTCATAACAAATTCCACATAGTTCAAGAGGGGGCAATAAACTAAGTAAACTAGGCAGAGAGAGAAAAGTTTCTCCTCACTGTAGCTTCTTTTGACAAACTGATTCAATTCATCTTTAACCCTTTGAACACTGAGGTCCAGATCCTGATTGTTCTAGTTCCCCTGGGTTCCTCATTCATGGGCTTGAGTGGATGGTCGGGTTCGAGGTAGGTGTCAAATGCTGATATACTGCGCATCCAAGCCATAGATACCTATAGCCAAGATCTAAATATCAGTCTTTCGGGTTCGTACTAGTTCCCTTAAGCTCATGATTAATTTTACTCAAAGGCTTGCATGGATAGTTTGAAAAAGGTGGAAGTGAAATGCCAATATATCAAGCATTTGGGGCACAAAGACTTACAGCCCAGACCAAAATATCAGTCTGTCCAGTTCAAAGGGTTAAAGGAAATCCGTCGAAGTGACCATTGACCTGGCCACTTGGAGAATCAAACATTTTGTTGAACAAGACCAAACTCACAAGGTCAGATTCTCCCAGACCCAAACAGAAGCGCACAGTTTACCCTCCTGGCTGAGCAATGGCCAGGACGTTCACCAGATCAAACAAGTTTCAGGATAAATCTCTACAGAACAGTTACAACTTGACCATAAAGATTTTCACTCCAATCACGAAATAAAAAAAAATAAGTAATTCACAACATTATTCATAAAGATATACAAAATACACTAGGATGCAAAACTAAACAATGACATTCAATTTTAATTCTAAAGAGAAAATGTAATCTTTTACCAAATAAAGAAAAGAAAAAGAACTGTCACACTTAACAATAAAATAAAAATAACAGCTTCTGAAATGCGTAAATCACATGTTTAAAAACACACATCAAAATAAAAAGACAGAGAGGAGAGGGACCTACCACCAAAAAAGCTAGCAAAAGGGTCATCTGTGCCGAAAAAGTCTCGGAAGATCTCCTCTGGGCTTCTGAACTGGAAGTGGAAGTTTCCAAAGTTGGACGGATCGTAGCTGAAGTCCTCATGTGTTCCATGACCTCCACCCAAGACACCCTCTCTGCCGTAGAGATCATACACTTCTCGTTTCTTCTCTGTAAAATTAACAATAAGGCAGTTAGAAGATATGCAAGTACTACAACAGGAAAAATGACTCAGAAAAATATTTGGAGACCTTTACTTGTACTGCTAAGAGTTACACAGGATTTGCAACACAATCAATAGGTCATACAAGTGCCAAAGATTAGAGGCACCACTGAAGAGTAACATATAAAGGAGAGAAGAAGGAGAGGTAACAAGGACGATAGATGTTTCAATACGAAATAAGAAGTGAACTACTCTAGAAGTGGATTAGAAGTAGAAGAAAGGAGAAAAAAGAAAAACCACACCAGACCCACCACAAATCACACAGGTGTACATTAAAGCAAGATAACACACACAGAGACAAACCTACACAAACACACACATAGGCACAAATTCATGCGCCCCCCCCCCCACACACACACACACACACACACACACACACACACACACACACACACACACACACACACACTCACACATACACACACACAGCCACCTCTACTAACATTATACCACCCACCATCAAACACAAACAAAGAGTCAAAGGAAGCTTCACTCTGTAAATATTCTTTCTGTCATCATTTACAATCAAAATCTCAAATACTCTCTGTACAAATATAAAGACATAAAACGACTAAGACTGAACTTGCGTATTTATGTTATCAAAACTTCAACAGTTTATCCGTATAAAAAGAAACACTAAATACGACTCAAGTTTCACATTCAAACTGTTTGCAGAAGTTAAACACCCCTTTGAGCTGCCAACCCATCAGCATAGCCAAAAAGAAACAAAATCTATTTAAAAGGGAATCAGTCCCCAATCTTGCAATAACAGCTTTGGGTTACCCTACTCCACTAGGTGAGCAAATGCAGAAATCCTTTCTGTCAACATTATTTGCAAGTCCATCCAGTTAGCGAGGCCGTTCGTGGTGTAACACCCCTCTTCACAGATCTATGGCCTCACCGGGGCTAGGGTGCCCTCCATCCGTTTGTTCAGCCCGTTTGGTGTACCCCATCTACCCCACACAAGGCGCAGGGGACACCCGGGCCAGGTAAAAGGCCTTACCCCGCGCTGGATTCAATTTCCTCAATTATGCAGACACATTGCGCGGGAAGAGGTGAACAGACAAATTTGAAGGGCAAGGTAACGGGACCAAATGTATTCATGGCAGTTTTAAAAATAGGAAGGGTGAACAGTTTTTTAATCAAAACGGCCTGCTAGCAACTGTTTGTTCCCGACCTACTTTGCAGTAGGTGGATGAGGAAATCTCCATGACTTGCTGAAAACTATACTTTAATTCTTTAAATAAATAACGTGGAATTACTCAAGGAAGGCATAGTGGAGCATTGACCTCTGGTAAACTGAATAAGCTAAGCAAAGACTTCAGAAAGTCAAAAAGATATAGGTAAAGCTTACATATATGAGTGTGTATCTCCTCCGTCCCTCCCTCCTTCCCTCTCCCACCTCCTTTCCTTCAATCCCTCTATACCATCCTGCCGTCTACATCATTTACATCTGAGCTGACAAAGCAGGATAAGAGACTACAGTTGTTTGGTTTTTTTGTTTTTTTTTAATAGAACCTGTGGCATCCTCCCCAGCCCACAACAGTCATCCATCCATCTATATGTGAACAAAAAATAAAACTAACACCAAAACATACACGCTTACACATATCAACACAAACGCACCACACACACACGACATCACACACACACACACACACACACACACACAACAACACAAAAAAAAATACAACTACAGACACAAACAAACAAACACACACACACACTGTGTGACACACAAACACACACACACAGAGACAGACAAAAAACCAAACAAACACATAAAAACATATAAACACACACATTTCATTAAGGGCTCCACAGACCAAAGTGCAATATACAGGGAGCCGTTATAAGGATAAGTGCCTTGTTATCCCCTGTGGCTTGTCAGCATCCGTTGACATAGGGCACTCTACCCTGGGACACAAACTATCAAAACAGGGGATCCAAAATTCCTCAACTGCTTTGAAGTGACATTGAAAGTGAAAGATTGGGTGAAGAGAGAGAGAGAGAGAAGAAGACCATAGCAGAGGACATTTACACAACTGCTACGAATTCAAATTTGAACATGGCAAACATCCATTCCCTTGGTGCGCCTTCTTTACATCCCCCACCCCCACCCCCTATCCTTCTCCCCTTTCAAGCAGTAGTCAAATGGCAACAATCTGGTGGGGCAGGCCAGAAATAAACTTTATGTGTTGCCTTTGACGACAGAGCTATGGTGGCTATCATGTTTACGGTGGTCTCATCCCAGTCACAGAAAGTTTGTGGGGATTATGATGATCAGGCTAAAGGGGGACAGGGGTCAGTCTCCGGCCATGTTTAGACCTCAGCTCATAAAAGGTGTTGGGCAGACAGCGGAGCCAGCCAGTGACATAGCTGGACGGAATGTGCCCCACCGACACCTGGGCTTAACGGCATGATGTTTTTGACACTTAACTTCATCATGACCAAACAAATCGAAAGGGGAGAAACTCCAGTAAATTTAGTTTGATCTTAATCATTCTTTTTATTTACAAAGCGTGTGATGTTATTTTATAGAAAAATAATAAATAAATTTCATTGATGGTTTGGAGTGGAAGGGGACAGGGGTGAGGAGGGGTGTTTATAATCTTATATTTAGTAAAATTATCACGACTACCTGAGTAGGAGAAGATACCATGGGAAGAAAAGCTCAAAGCAAAAGTTACGTACTGTCTGAAAGTATATCATAAGCTTCTGAAATTTCCTGGAATTTCCTCTTTGCTTCATCTTTGTTGTCTGGGTTTTTGTCAGGGTGCCATTTCAGAGCAAGTCGTCTGTACCTGTAATAGATGTGACAGAAAAAGAAGTAGATGAAGCAAATTGTTTCTCATGCTGTGAATAGCATAGCTAACAGCAGGAATTTTTAACCTTTTGAGGCCAACAGCTCACTGATGTGAAGCATTTTTATGGGCCCCACAATACCCTTCACAAATGAAGAAATTGTTTTAGTAAGAGTTTTGCGGCACTTGCAACACAATAAGGTCATACAAGTGCAGAAGATTAAAGGTGTTACAAGAGAGTAATAAACACAAAAAAGGAGGAAAGATAAGTACGATAGACATTTGATAGGAAAGAAGGAGCAAACCACACCAGAGCACCCGCCAACCACCCACAAATGAAGAAAATAATAAAGATTAATCATAATTTGAAATGAAATGGTAGATCTAATGACATGAAATACACAAAAGTGCAAAAACAAACAAGACCTATTAAATATCCAAACAAAGAAGGTAAAAAATAATTAAAACACACTCGTCTTTCTGAGAGCTCCCCTTTCCCCCTTCCCCACAAACAACTAAATTTAGAAAGTGTTGCTTTGTTTGAACTCAAAACTTAGAACTGACAAACTTAACCGTTACTTCTAAAGCAGCATCATGGTACATCATGAAACGCTGCTCTTTGGTCCCAATTTTGAGAACTTTGGTTAAAGATACTCTTTCACACAACAATGGCGGGTGGTTGGCGGGAGCTCTGGTGTGGTTTGCTTCTTCTTTCCTGTTAAACATGTATCGTCCTGATTTCTCCTCCTTCTTTTTTTTGTGTTTGTTACTCTCTTGTAACATCTCTAATCTTCGGCACTTATATGACCTTATTGTGTTGCAAGTGCCGTAAAACACTTACTAAAACTAAAACTAAAACACAACAATGCATATGGTTTGCATCAAGATAGCTGTTTGGGCTATGTTGAGAAAAAGCAACATGAACCCTAAAAAAAATATGTTTTAAAATTAATAATGGGATGAGAGGAACAAGATACAATCATGGCGGCCTCGAAAACATCCACAAACCTTGACTAGTTATCTATTTTCAGACTAAAGTAAACACCTAGCACACAGCAAGAAAGATGGTTCTGCCATGACCTGTGTTAAAAAATTCTGAGAGACCACTGATCTGTGAAGGTCTGTGCTCTTTCTTCGCCTGATAAAGAGACCCCATTCAGCTACAAGCACACAGACAGCAACAAAAGATACAATCAAGCTTCTTCTTCAAGTTCTCAGTTGGGGGTATTCAGCGTGGTTTTGTCAACACCTCATGACCCTTGAATTATGTTTTAAAGATGACAACCTGGAGGTTTTAGATAAGAGTTTGTGAACATTTAAAGAGGGAAGACGCCCTGGCTCAGATGTTTTCAATACCCACTTGACTCCACAACCCAGTGCTGTTATAAAAGTCTGAAACAAAACTATAAACATTTTCTCCCGCACATACTGTGAACAAACTCTTGTGGCACAGAAAAACAAGTGACAACTTGAAAAAAACCCACATCAAACCTTAATAAACAAGTAATTTATTTTGTTAATTCAGCGGCCTTTCAGTTTCTTCTCTTTGAGTCAACACCACACTAAGTATAATAATTTTTAAAATCTCACTGTATATCTAGTATTTACAAAATAACAACTTACGCTTTCTTGATTTCTTGCTCTGTGGCACTTCTTTCTATCCCCAGCACATCATAGAGGCAGGTGTCTGGCTTCCTGGTGGCCGGCATGGCGGCAATGTTGGCTGGTCTCTGTCTTGACTGCCCTTATCTCTAGAGTTCCTCTACTTTACTGTGGGAGGGGGAAAAAAAGAAAAACATCTTAGTTTAACTCTATAGTGCATCTCTTTACTGTGGGAGGGGAAAAAAACAAAAACATCTTAGTTTAACTCTATAGTGCATCTGCTTTACTGTGGGAGGGGAAAAAAAACAAAACCATCTTAGTTTAACTCTATAGTGCATCTGCTTTACTGTGGGAGGAAAAAGAAAAGAAAAACATCTTAGTCTAACTCTATAGTGCATCTGCTTTACTGTGGGAGGGAGAAAAACAAAAACATCTTAGTTTAACTTTATTTGTTTTTGTAGATGTTTTACAGCGCTCGCAACTGCATAAGGTCATATGAGCGCCAGAAGATTAGAGGCGTTACAAGAGAGTAACAAACACAAAAAGAAGAAGGGGAGATAAGGACGATAGAAGTGTGATAGGAAAGATGAGCAAACCACACCAGAGCACCTGCCAACCACCAACTTAGTTTAACTCAACTTTAATGTACTGTTTGTGTGTGTGGTTTGGGGGTGGGGGCGTGCGGGTGGCCTGGCAGAGAAAAACCATCTTAATTAAATCATGATTATATTGGCTTGGATTTTGTTTTCCCTACGCTGTACAATAGTTTGATATTGATTTGAGGATGGCTGGGAAGGGGTGGTTTGGTGGGAGTGAGATTCTGCATTTTTTTACCAAAACGGTAAGAAACAAACAGATAAATTTTGGGGGGAAAATAACATGAAAAGCAATGCAACGGCACAAACACCCACAGCATTCACCGTTTTCTCTTCGCAAAGTACAATAAACTCATAAATACTGCTTTGAAAAGAAGTAGTTTTGTGACTGAGTGAGGAAAGAGAATTTTGAAATACACAGTAGTTTTGCGTCTGAGTGAGGAAAAAGAATTTTGAAATTCATCAACAATGTCAATGGCCATTTTGTACTGAGAAAAAGCAAGGTAAGACAGATAAACAGAACCATCTGTTGGAAAGAAATGACGTGACGAAGTGGCCTCTATCAGGACGTCAGGAACACCCTCGACCTCCGCCCGCTTGGGGATGTAGGCAGACATTGTCGTGATGAGAAGAGATTTACGTAAAGGAAAATAACATTGTTTTTCGTTGTAGCAGAGGTTTTGTTTAGTTTTAGTAGATGTTTTACGGCGCTCGCAGCTGCATAAGGTCATATGAGCGCCAGAAGATTAGAGGTGTTACAAGAGAGTAACAAACATAAAAAAGAAGAAAGGGAGATAAGGACGATAGATGTTTGATAGGAAAGAAAAAGCAAACCACACCAGAGCACCCACCAACCACCCACTAACGTTGTTTGGATGATGAAGGACGAGTGAGTGAGTCATCCACACGACAGCCTTAAGGCAGGAGATGAGACATCGAAAAACAGGCCAAAGCACCAGAAAACATCCACACTATCAATAACAACAAAAATAGCTGATTAGAAATAACACAAGCTCACGATGCATCGAGGGAGGGGGGGGACAAGAGGGAGAGGGAGTGAGAGTGAGAGTGAGAGAGAGAGTGAGAGAGAGAGTGAGAGAGAGTGAGAGAGTGAGAGAGAGA